AATTTAGTGATTACTGCTCCACAATTCTCTGTCTAGCTTAAGACAGGTGTCAAGGCTGCAGGGTTTTCCATCAGTTTATTTCATCAAAACATCCATTTACGCAACACAAGATATAACAGTAAAGCCTTTAGGATGATTACTTAGTCCCTAATCCCAAACACCATCACTCCAAACCTCTAAATAAATATATAAATCACTGTCACATCCTACCAGAGCTAGCAGGTGCCTTTTTGGCATAAAGGTTCTCCAACCTAGATAAAAACCCATGGGTACACACATTCCAACCACACAGCCTAAATATGCAGCTGTATTACCAGGGTAGTATTATCCACTCTTAAACCAACTCTTTTAGCTTGGCAGCCATTATGTTTATATGATATACTTTCTTTTGTCTAGTAAGTTTTGGGGCTTAGCACAGGGATCAGCTTCAGATTTGAAAACAAAGCTACACTTTCTGTTTAAAAAAATAACTCCTACATTATTCAAAACATTAGAAAAACCAATTTTATAAATATTTAAGTTTCACAGAAACCAGAGGCTTTGTAAAAGAGTTTTCATCCCTCAGCTCACCCTGTCACTTGCTCAAAGATAAACAAAATTTTCATTTCCAGTCTGTCTTTGGTATCACTTGCACTTGTATGCACCTTCCCTTCGATTTTACATAATGACCCAATTTTATATAGCTGAAACTCATTTAAAAACTCCTGCAGAATGAAGAATGCCATTAAGAGAGGGTCTTCTCCACACAACAGAGTATAATCTGTAACAGACTTCAAAATGTCAAGCAGTTACATACTTGTGGGATTACAAATTTTAACAACAGCAAAACAAAGGGAACAGTTGTAAGTATAAAACAGGAGTCTGATACTTGACAAGTCTCCCTCCAAAATAAAGCATGTCTCTGTACATTCATATTATAAAGTCTAAACACCTGATCCATAAATAGATGCAGCTTATAAATTGTACATATATATCATCAACTTATTCATTATTAAAATAAGCAGTGCCATCTACAAAATAAAGTGCTAGCCAGTGCCTTAGTTTGGTTTTGGGGGTGTTGGTTATTTTTTTTCTTTTAATACGACAAGAACTCCACCAACAAAAGGATAAATTTTGTTATGTGTACGTGCTGGATGGCTCATAGAATCCACGAGAGCACTGCAAAGAGGCAGAGCAGCAACACAACCTCGGCATAGTCTGACTTTCAGCCAAGGCCGCCTACCAGCTTTTGTATATTGTGTTAAACATTTAGTGATAAGGTATTGCATAACATAATTCACTGTTTTACTTAACTGTAAGTACTTGCAACATTTGAGAGAGACACCTGTAGCCATTGCAAAACTGCTGTGAAGAAAAAGCTCAACCTTAGTGATGCTTTAGAAATCAGATCAGCATTTGAATCAGGTTTACATCAAGGCCTGTTCAACTCTTATACAGGTAAACTCTCAAGGAGAGTGGATATTAGTAATTTCTCAGTCTTCAACCATGCAAAGACTGTTTCGATGGGTTAAGGATCTTGTCACAACAGGTTACAAAAAGCAAATGGGTTTCTGCTGAAATTCCACACTGCGATCAAGATCAGATCTAGTATTTAATCTCTCCCTTTTACACAGAGAGGAAGTTGGATCCAGCTCTGGATTACGATGCCAGATTTTCTCCTTAAACCACCATTACACAGACACAAGGCAGAGAAGACAGCAGCTCTTGTGCTCAATGATGACTGCTGTCTAAGGCTGATCTAGCAGACCAAATGGAGAAAACACCGCCAGCCACTCAGAAAGCTTCATGATTTTGTCTTAAAAAAACAAAACAAAACAAAAAAACAAACACTGGTGTCAGGATAACAGGTCAGCAAGAGGGGAAGAAACTTTCCCTACAATAGTAGTCACAGAAACCATGAGCAAATTAGCAGATGAAAGGAACTCTTGGCACCGAAAACATTTACTGGGGTCCCAAGTCCAGAGTATGCTGCTCTGGCATTTCAGAGGATAGCTGCTGCCTCCACAGCTTTATGCACAGCCCACTAACCCCATGGTATCAGATCTCTTTCAAGTTTTGTCTCTTCACCTCAGTAAAAACTCTATTTGTCATTAGCCAACAGCAGATACCACTTCTTCAGTATTTATAATGCACACTTCATTACTGCATCTGAATGAAACAGGGCAACACTTCACACCATACCAGTTACACCAATTTGCACTACTACAGTGCACATCTGTAATGTAAGACACATCTTTACAACGTCATGCACTTCTCACACCTATTTCTTTTTAATATTGAGTATTAACACAAAAGCACAAATGTCTTTCTTGCTAAATTTTGACAACATCTCACTTCAGGATTCTCTGGTGATTTCCTTCACAGGGTAGTTAAGAAACCAGAAAACAAAACAGTAACACAGCCTGTCTCTAAACTAATTATGACATAATAATTTCTGACAAGAAATAAACTGGTTTTATGTATCTGTGTGTATATACACACAGATTTTGTGTGTGTGTCTATAAATATATATACAAAAAATAACTGACCCAGGACACACATACATACACAGATCCTGGATCTGTTTCCATCTCCAGACTGACTTTCTGCAATACTATGCCTCAGTTTCCTCTTTTGGTTAAGGTAGCCCCTACTGCAAAGGTTTTTAATGATTACTTCTTCAGCACCCAGCCCTGATGCCAGCCAAGGTGCCCCTGCAGAGCTGGCTCTGGAAGCCACCAGGGTGAGAGCCTATGCAAGGGTCCCTGCCAGGGCAAGCAGCACAGCAAGTCATCCCACTGAGCAGGTGTCCCAGCCACACCTTCTGCCAGCCCCAGGCAGGGGCCTACTGATGGAGCTGGTATGCTCAGTCATGCTGTTAACACAGTTAATGTATTTCTGATGACTCAATCTAAACTCTAAGAGCTATTGCTATCAAAAGACTAGTATAAAGCCACTTACAGAGCGCTCGATTTTTTTCCCTCATTTCTCACAATTATTTTTTCCCACTTTATCTAAATTACTGATGGCTCAATTATTATCACCCTCTTTAAGCAGAGGCATAATTGACCAGCTACCTCCACCAAATGGTATTTAAGCTACCTTCCAACTCCAGTTTGCACACAAAAAGTTCACATTTCTATCATACGGTAGATATGATCCCCCAACTAACCTGACAATAAAGCAGACCGCAGTGGGAAAACAATTTGGCAGCCTTGACTCATCTATTATTCAAATTTAATGATTAATTAAATCCCTATCAACACTCTTACCTGAAAAAAGAAAACTTACTCTGCTTCATAATTATTATTCCTTGAACCATCACTTCACTAGGTCAACTTTAGGAAAAGGACACGCTGCAGAAACTTTCTTCTAGAAATTCAAACTCCAGTAACATACAGTATTTTATTAATGAAAATATTCCATCTTTAACAAAGTATCCAGAATCTAAAATAACAGCCCAAGACTATGAGATTCTTGGTTTATAATTAAAAACAGAAATGCTGAAAAAGACTGCACTGAAATTAACAAATTGAATCCAAGTATGATATCGATCAAGCCCACTCCAACGTAACACAGTTGGAGGTTACAGTTTCTCTTTTTTCCCCTCTCAACAAGAAGCAGATGGCTGATAAGTCAGTATATCAAAGCCCTTCTATAAAACCTTTCACAATTAAAAGTTATGTTTACTGTTCCTAATGCCACCACACAGAAGGGCTTCCCCACATACAACTAAAACCCTTTCTCAGCAGTAGATGTGTATCAATCACAGAAGTAGCTCAAAAGAAATAAACATCACAGTACCAGTTTGATCCATGGACAGCAGGAATTTATGCTACATAACTTCAAAAAGAGTATGTTAACCTATCTTTATCTCCATATATACTTAAAATACTCATATAAAAAAACAAACACAAACACAAACATACACACAAAAGCCACCACCCCAAAAACCTACTATGTTTAGATATCCAACTATTTAATAAGCGAAGGCACTTGCTGAGAATTGGGAGACTCCTACTAACTTTGGTAAAGCTAGGGTTCACCTAAGAAGCTTACAGATCCCAAGATGATAATGGAGTTTTTAATCAAATACATATGAAGTTCTTAAATACAGGGGGGAAACCCACTCTTTTAAGTATGGACTTGAGAAAATTAAATACACCTAAAAGACCTTTGTCAAGTATCTTTTACCCCTTCTTGGAAAGTTCTGAAAAAAGCAAGCAGCATTCAGAAACACATTAACTTCTCCAAGAAAGCTCTGCATCAAAGCTCTGCTTTTAAACTTTTATTTTTTTAAACAACAACAAAAAAAAAACCCGCACTTAGGAAAGTTGCCATCATCTTACATTTCAGGATACAAAACTGAAAAAAATCCCTATTAAAAAAAAGACAGGACTTCAGCCAAGTATTCAGCTACTTATTGCTGTAGTTGTAACTCAAGTCCATTTAAGCCCCTATGTTTTGGTCATTTGTAGTGAGAACATGTTTGGAACACTAGCAGCAATAGAAAACCCCTTTCAAACCCAGACATAGCTACACTGTTGAGTGAACATTAGCAGAAACCACAACCACGGGGACATAATAAAGCATCCTGTAAAAGTACAATTGAATTGATAGCTAGAAAAACAGGGATGATTTAAAGTGCTATCCCAAAGCCATATGTGGGCCTATGTCAGTAAAGAAAAGTACTTTCCCCACCACTAGATAAAGCCCCAGACCACAGTAGTACTCCAAACATAATGAATACGGTCTTCATCCTGCCTCAATGCCTCATCTCCCCTCCCTCCTCCAACAGGTAGCATACAGAAACTTGAAGGAATTGCTAATTCCAAATGTAGGTGATACTCACAAATATACTGTTGAACAAAGTCTGAACAGCAAAGAGTACACCTGAGTTCAGTCGTACAAACTAACTTCTGTAAATAGCGTTAGACGAATATATTCATGTCTCTAATATGAATCTAAATGTATTTTCTTACAAAACGCATTAATAGAAATATCCAGGCAAATACATACCATACAATAGCAAAAGCTTTAAGCCCCATTTAATAAGATGACTTTTCAATTAAAAATAGAAGGCAATTAAGATTTACTCAAAATTACAATTAAGAAAAGCTTTCACAGTGCAATATTGAAACTGTCACAAAGTTAAGAAAATACTGATATCAAAGTACAATCACAATGTTAAAGTAGACAAAACTACTATACAAGGGCCTATCCTGTAAAACTAAAAGGAATGAACACAACATAGGGGACATCTCACGTCCCTGCTCTACGTATCTTGTTTGCTAATCTTCAGAGTCATAACTGTGTCTTTCTGACATCAGCAGAAGTCTTGTTAGAAGTAAGATGTTCATTCTTCTTGTTCACAGACCAGATTTCAAAGCCAAATTACTTCTTGAAAATACGGTCTTCATCACTGCACAATTTCAAAGTAGTGCAATATTGCCATGATGTGCTGAGGCATGAACACGTAGCCCGTGTACAGTGCCATTCCAACGATGGAAACGAGCATGGAATCTGAATTCCAGTTGAGGAAAAGAGCATTTGAAATAGAAAGTGCATCAGACATCACACAGCATTAAAACTTTCCTGGTAACTATCTTACAAGACTGCATGTTTAAATCAGACGGGGTCAACTGTATTTAGCAATTAAAGACTGGAAGAACCACCTGAACATAAAAAAACAGAACACCAGTTTCAGCAATGAGCTGAATTACAGAATGATGCCTTGCAAGTTATCCACTGCCTCCTCAGGGACTCAAGAGGACAGGCTAAAGTATGGGAAGCGTGATGGAAGAACAGAAAATGGGCACTGAGAATACACAACTTCTTAACATGCATCTTCCCAGGTGCTAAGCAAGTCTTGCAAAAGCCAGTGCCATGCAGCCAAGCAGAAAAAAAGTCAACCATTGCAAAAAATAGCCCAACAAACCAAACAAAAAACACAATAATAGGAGTAGCTGTACTGAGTAAGAGGTTTTATTTGTGCATGTCCTACTCATTTTTAAGCACACAGCATTAGAGATTGACCTCAGCTTCCTGGAACAGAATGACCTAATAAATTTAACTCATGATGCACAGAGCACATCTGCTGTGAAAGTTGTACTGTTAGCACAATAAAGTCAGAAAACCTCACATCCACTCCTAGCTGCCAGTGTCCTCTAGGCTCTAAGTCACTACATTATTTGGTCCATTTCTCCACCCACATGTACTCAGACCCTTTCTCATGGGCAAGCACCTCAATTTATGTGCTTTGGAGGCATTTAGGAAAAAGAAACCGCAGAAGAAGTGAAAAGTATGAGTAACATTGTGACATGCACCTATTTCACTCACAAAGCCTCAGCATCAGCATGGCTTCAAGTCACGTGCTTAAGTAAACGGACACTCATTAGAAGATCACACTGCAAAACAAGCTTCACATGAAGCTAAACAATTTTAAGATGACTACTTGATTAGTTGAACTCCTAACAGGGACCTCCTGTAAAACACACATAGAGAAGTCAGACAACAGCTTATGATGTGTACGTACAACTGGACCTTTGCTCAGCTTTAGGGTTCCTGCAGCTTTATCTACAGAAATTATGGCATCAGATTACTGAAAGATTATGCCATTCAAAGTTTAAGGTTACATAAATTCAGAAGTACTTGAAATTAACAATAAGCTGTTGATTTCATCCAACTACCTGCATTCAGTAAACTTAAGACAGGAACACTATAAAAAGCACTGCAGATTAACAAGCATGATAACAGTGGACAGCAGTACTCAGTTTCCACAGGTGAAACCAGAGGAGCTCCACATCTTTGAGAAATCAAGTCACCACAGCACCCATGTAACATGCTCTGTGACCAACTTCCCTGTGGCAGAGCAGAGGTGTTAGTTGTGCTTATTAGAGCATACTAACTGCTTGGTGTGTTTTTAGTCCCAGAAGATTATACAATATGAGATGCTAAAATGAAGGTCAACTCATAAATCCCTGTTTCCGTATCAGCGCTCACTCCTGATTCTGGAGCATGAGCAGCAATAAGGCACACAGCAACAGAGCCACACACCATTAGTTCCCAAGGCCGCTGCGTCCATGCTGCACTCATACAGACCTGGCCCTCCAACAGCGAAAGCATCCCGTGTGAGGATGCAAAACTACTTTGCTGACCCGGGATGGCAAGTGATACTTGTGCCACTCACATTTGTAAACTAAGTGGCAATTACTTCACTGCATTTTATAACAGTAAACATGCACACACACCTTAATTTACCTAAATACCTTGCACAAGTTAAAATGCTCCATGGCTAGCACAAAGAAAAAACAACAAAAAAACCAAACTCATTACTAATATAATTGAAGAGAAAGCAAACATGAAGCTTCCTTGGTGACAAAGACACAGCATAAAGAGAGGAAGATACGGTAGCAAGGAACACTTGCTTGAAGGTAAGATCCCCCACCCAAACAATTACGCACAGTCTATAAATACTAGAAAAGAGAGGATGTTATCTCCACTTCTACTGACTTTACACAGCAAAAAAAAACCTAAATCACACAGCTGTAACTTGAGCAACCACTTTTATATAATAAATGCAAGTTCCTTTACAAAATTGTCCAGTATCTCAGTAAAAACAGCTTCTCACTACTACTTATACCCCTATCTTTGTTGATGTTTTGGCTAATTACTCTTTGCCTTTCAACATTAACTGGAGATGGCTCGGGGTCATCCCTGTCAGACATCATTTTAAGTCAAGATCAAAACAACCACATTTAAGACAAAAATACTTGTGATGCCTTAACAACAGCCGGGAGAGTATACTGCCTGTCTGAAAGGGGCGGGTAAAGAAGCCGACCTGTAAGCAGTCTTTAAACACATGCCTTCATGTAAGCATCTATCAAGTTCTTCCACTCCAAAAGAGCCAAGCAAACTTACCAGTTGGAGGATTAAATACTCATCTAACACAAGCCATATGACAAAACGCCATAAGCTTAAACATAAGCTTCCAAGGTTTTGCAGCGCGCATGTTTACTTTCCAGTAAGCAAAAATACAAAAGAATTAATAAAAGACACCAGTGCTTAAGGGAAAGCTTGAGATTTCAGTGCAAAAGACGCGAGAAAGTGCTACCATAACCCTAGAGAAGGAAAATTAAAGAAGTAACTTCGAGATATAAACCTATGCTCGGCGACAGGATGAGGAACACCAGCATGACGATTACTCCCCAGCGTTAGCTTGTGACCGTGAGGAGCCGTGCCTGCCAGGAGGGGACAAGCGCCGGTGCCGGGCGGAGGCTGCCGCTCCTCCGCTGGCGCCTCAGGCCAGCTGCCCCAAGCACGGCGCGGCACAGCCCCGCTCCCCGGCACGGCCTCGCTCCCCTCCCGCCGAGCCGCGGGCCCCAGCCTCGGAGAGCCCCGCCACCGGCCAGCCGCCCTCAGCAGGGCCACGGCCCTGCCGCTTCCCCGGCACCGCACCCGTCGGGGCCGCCACACCAGCCGGTGGCCTCAAGGGAAGGGGACGGGAAGAAAGGAGAAAGCAGCCCCCGGCGTGCCGGCGAAAGGATACTGAAGACGGTGCGCTCCCAAGGCTCCAGCATGTACAGCGCGGTGATCAGCAGGTACTGGTAGTACAGCCACGACATCTGCTTCCACGCCGAACCCAGCGCCATGGCGCGCCTCGCCCTCTGCCCCCCCCGCCAGCGGCCGTGCGCCGGGCCCAGGCCGAGCGGAGACGGGGCGGTGGCAGCCCGAGACCCGCCCTCCCTCCCACAGCCACGCCCCGCCCCGTGCCCGGGCAGCCCCCTGAAATGGAGGCGCGGAGGGGGTGGCAGCGGACTCGCTCGCCCTGGGGTGGGCCGCGGCGCAGCAGGGAGCCGTGAGACCCGGCCTCCTTAAATCGCATGGCTGCTGTGAAGCCCGAGCGGTCTGCTTTTCTGAATCAGGCCCAGGAGACGGTGCTGCAGCCGGTTGTCCTCATCCTCTGTAATCTAAACCGATGTTCTGGGAAGTACCGAAAGCCCGGACACTGTGCTCCGTGGGGCACAAGGAAAGCATGTTGAAAATGCTCAGCGGCTGTCTTCACTGGGCAAAACCCACCCAAAAACATGGCTGAGATAAATGAGACCTTAACATCAGCCGACTCTGACCAGGTTAATCCCTTATGAGCAGGAAGAATAAGGATGCCATAGATCAACTGTTAGCTGTAACTGTTGCTAACTTGGTGCTTCCCTAGGGCACCTGGGCCAGAAAGCAGAGGGTGTGGGACGCCCTGCCCTGGCTGCTGATCAGCTTGATACGGAGAAATTCCCAGAGCCTGGCCTGGGACCGCATGATTAGAAAGCCTGTTGGCAGCCTATGGTCGCACTCTAGTTTGGAAGACAGAAGATGGAAGCCCACTGGAAAGCAGTATACACAACCTTCAGGCTCCATGACTAAGCACAGGGCAGGCCCCCGTGCGCCAGACATGCACACCGCAGATTAGAAACTGGTATCGATACTCGCCCCGCATAGTAAATGTTTGTGATTATGTCACTGTGTTGTGTGATTCTGTTCTTGCAGCACCCCCCCCCCACCTTCAGCTGCACCATTAGTACAATGAGTAATGAGGAAACAAGAGTCACAGGAGGATGCACACAGGCATTACTTACACAGCTGCAAAATACAACCATGGTACTAGCAGATAACTGAAAAAGTATTTTGTGTGGCAGAATCCGAAAAGAGATTTAATTCAACCAGAAGACATTTAGACACCCTTTACCTATTCAGACTTACTTCAGCACAAGAAGAAAGGAGAGCATTCACACAATTAATACCCTGCAGCAACTGGCTACAGGAGCCACAGTCCCTATCCAAGACTGCTGCTGCTTGTTGCAAGTGCTGCTGGAGAAGTCTTGTGTTAGTGTTGCTGCTTGAAAACACAGTAATCATGAAAGCCTCCTTTCTATATAAACAAGTACAAAGTTCAAGGACAGGTGGGGTGTTCAGCACAACTAAAGCATTACTCCCATTCAAAGGTGCAAGAACATTATCCATATGGGTGGGGCAAACGGGTCCCAGTCCTGCCTGCTCCTGTGCTTCCTAGCTAGGAGCTCTGCAATTCAAATGATAAGCAAGAAGAAACAGCAAGAAAGGGATGAAAGACAGTATCTAGAGGCATGCCAGCTTCAAAATCTGCCCTAACCCACCACGCCCCTTATGCCTTTTCAGTATGGCACATACTCAAAGGTTTGCTAGTTAGCCCCTTAAGAAGACAGTATTCTTCTGTATAGTTTCCCCTCCTTTGTCAGCTCCATTCTACCCCTGCTTAGGGACTGCCATCACATAGTTCTTCCTGCTGCCACCCACATCGACATTTGAGCCCTTGAACTACATACATTCCCACACGCTCACATTTCCAGTAGCTCAGTGCAAAGACCCTTAACCTGGAGCTACAACAGAGCCCTCACACTTCACCTGGAATGGAAAGACAGCTACACAGAGGCCAGCATGCCCTGCAGCAGAAACTTAACCTACATTTGACGAAGAAAACTGTCGAGGTAGCTGCTGAACACTTGGACAAAAGGTAACCAGAGAGTCACAAGATTTTGTTATCATCCCAGGCACAGAGGAAGTATGTTCTCCAGGCTCCTACCTCCCAAGTTTAATTATTTCTGACAGTTCCTCAAAGCACATGTAACAAATTCTTCCCAGTACTATTAAAAGCATAAAGATGAGAATTTTTTCAGACAGAGCCCTGCTCGAAGTGTTAAAACAATATCAGCCTATAAAGAGGAAACATTACTTACTAATAAAAAAACCCCAAGGGGAGGGGTTTTTTGGAAGCATGCCCAGAAGAAAAAAAAGGGAAGGGTCCACTGTTAACACTGCACTGGCAACAAAGACTAAGCATGATATCTAAATATCAAGTAGCAAAAGCTCTTTATGCTTCCCTAAAGCTGTAAACGTACTGAAGAAACAGAAAAAGCATATGAACTAGCTCTATGATCATAGATCTGACCATAAATTTCTTCTTAAAATGTGTCACTGTAAGGAAAAAGGACATGAGAAAGAAAAGTATTTTCTTCATATACATATATTCATTTAACGCTCTTAACTGCATTACTAAGCATTAATACTTGATTTAAATTATCCATGCCAGCAAACTCAATATAAGCTAATCTTCCACTCTGTATAAATGAAAGTTTCCATTTTTGAGATCTTAATAGGCCAAAAATCCAAATATGACAATTTCTTATCAAACCTACCTGTGCGCAGATCTACCAGGAATACCAGTGTAAAGAAGCCAAATACCCTGAAAGTTATTCCCCACGTGCCACAGAAATGAGCAATATAGAGAGAAGCAGTTACTATACAGTATTTATTCTAAGCAGCAGTTATAACACATGCTGAGTTAATGAATAGTGTATATATACAGAGAATGATCATAACATACAAAACTTACATTGTATTTACAAAATTTTGAATCCCCAATGATGCAACCGCCTGACAGAGTGGAAGAATACTGCTTTCAAATGCATGCGGTGAACTGTATTCCCTTCATTAACTTTGCACAAAGTTTAGAAGTTCTCCAATGAAATGTACACTTAGGAGATCGTACTTAAAAAAGGCTAATACGCCTGCATTTCTAACAGTCTTATAGCAGGTGCAGGGTTTTTTTCCCTGCTGCTTTTGCACATTAGCAGTGGCTGGCTAGAACATTGAAGAAGTGAAAAACTTCATCTTTATCCATTACTGCCACTTCAGTTGAGCATTGAGTACACAGTACTGGATGATACACTTCCTCCTCTTCTTGATTTGACTGTAGAGAGGTAGTTTCTTTGTTGTGCTTCATTTTCTTATTTCTTTTCTTTGACTTCTTCCTGTATTTCAGAATTTCCTCTTTATTAACAACGCAGTTCATCACAAACATGGCTCTGTATTGTGTTTTGTAAGATTCATGTCTATAGAGAAGGGGAGAAAATGCAAGTCATACCATTGGTAAAACTCTGCTTCCAAGAAATCTGTTATCGTCACTGGAAATGGGATTAAATACAGCAAGTACCATGTCAAAGAGCTGAACACCGAATAAACACGAAATTTTATAAACAAACGTTAACAACTACAAAAAACATTAAAAAAATGGAATTGCAACCATTTGTCCCGTTTTTAAAGCATTTTAAAAAACACACTGGTTATTGATGAAATAAACACCCCGGAGTACAATGGTTGATACAATTCAGAATACCACAGAATTATGCATTGCTATGTGTAGCTGACAGTAGGCAAAAGATCATGAAGGTGTGAGTGCAAATGACTCAACTACTGGCACCAATATCCTAAAATGTCTTGCAAGCCTGAGATTCCTTATTTATAAATAATAAGCATTGACACACCACACTTAAAATAGCATGTCTATAATGAAATATAAAACACAGTTTCAGCTGTCATCAGTGTAACAACTGTAACTGGAGTATGTAGCAAAATTCAGGGCTGCAGTTCAATTCAATTCAACACCACATCCCTCGGGCTGCAGTTTTACAGCAGCCTAAGCCCACATAACAGGTGGCTGCAGAAATCCTGTCTCGACTTTGGCTGGCTTTACTGCTTGTATAAGGCTGGGTTGAGTTATTTCAGTTTATTAAACCCACAAAAGGCCAGTCTGACACCAAAACCATATGGTTTTCTGCCAGCTTAGCAAACTGAAATACTTAACTGTAGAACAGGGTCAAGCAGTACCTAAAGCCAGCAAAGGGGAGAGAAACAGCACTCAGTACTTTGATGATTTTAGGCCTCTGTGAATTTCATCCTCAATCACCAAAAATACTCAGTAAATGAGAGGCATTTACTCCTCATCGCACATTTGTTTCTCATTTTCTCCCAGTGCAGGAGTCCCCTCCTTAGCACACGTTCACAGTACTAACTAGTTTTGCAGTGCAGCCAGATACTGGAGAGCTGCAAAACACACTGAAGAATCTCACCTAAATGCTTACCAAGCATTTTAAAATATAACTATACTCAAAACCACAACTGCTGAGACTGAAACCAAGCTAGAATACACTATCTTGATTTTGCTTAGTCCTCCCCTAAACAAGGCACTTTTACACAAAAATAACCTGGAATAATTTCACACATCTAAATAGCAAGGCAACATACTAAAAAAAAAAAAACAACAAACAAAACAACTCAGCCTCAACTGCCTGTTTAGTCTTCATGATTTTTTTTTAATAGTTTACATTCTCCACTATGCTGAAGTTCTTCCCTGTTCTTCCTCATCTCCATGTTGCAGGTTGAACTGCAATTCTTACAAAATAGCATTCATCCCTAAATGTGATTCACATGTATGTACCTTCTCTTTATTAGTGCCACCTTGTAATACAGAATTGATAAAATCAATTTATCAAATTAAGTACCCTAAAAATACTACCAGCCAAAAAAAAAGACATTTCAAAAAGACCCTCTGTTATTCATTAATTACCTCTGGCAGTCCAGGCATAAGGTTGTCATGCAAGCAGGGCAATTCAAAACAGCATCACTGTTTGGAACAGCTGTAGGTTTCTGCTGCTGCTGCGGCACCCTTTGATTACGGTACCTAGCAATTCAGGCAAGGAGGAAGTAGAGACAACAAATGACACCACATGCTCTTGCTGTCAGGCATATCAGTTCAACTGTCAAGCCTTTTTTATGTTAAAATACATCAATTAATACTCGTCTCCTTCTGGACACCTTTGTCAGTAACTCAAAGCACATGAATATATAAACCAGAGAAAAACTATACCAGTCTTTTCATTTACTTTGTAGGAAGGATTTCATTTGGTGAGACAAATACATCCAGCACAAGAATTTGTGCCTAATGACCCTCTCCTCCAACAAGGTGGGTATCTCAAGTGCAGGGAACATATACTAATATTATCCTTTTCATAAGATTTATGTGGAGAATTTTACTTTTCCTGCAACAATCATTTTCTACTTCACCCTTCAAAACCCCTCAGTAAAGCAGCTTTGTGCTGTTCCTATTTTATCTGAACATTTTGTAGCTTGCTAAAAATCAAAAGTTTTCCAAAACTAAAACCAAAAGTTTTCTAAAACTAAAACCAATTAGCAGGAACAGAGATTAATTCAGCAAAGTACCTCACAACCTTTTCATCCACTGCACAGTTGTTTAGATGAGATCTGTTGACAAATCTGGCTTGCAGAACTAGGAAGTCTCGAGTTTTAAAAAAGTGCAACTTTTGACATTGCGTAATTTTGAAGACTTGACTTCCATTGCATACATATAAAAATTTTACAGGCTTTTAAGTTTCACCTGCTATAAACTCTAAATAAAAATATTTTCACTGAATGGACTTGACAGCATGAGCTTTTTCTCCATATTAACCATTTTCATTTACATTTTCAGCTTATGTTAAGCATCCTACAATTCAAATATTTATTCTGGTCTCTTACCCCCTCCTCTGTGAGTCTACCCACTCTTGGTCTCTACTGTCTTCCTCTGGGTCGTACAGCAGTTCATCATTGGAAAGAATCTGACGTTGCTGATGTTTTCTGGTTTTCCGGATGTCCTGTGTAACTGGAAAGATTTGTGCATGTTACATCCCTCAGACATATGACGATTCTCAAGTAATCAAAATACCAGTTTTTCTTTTTTCATACTCGCAATAAATCTAAGGGTCTAGCTCATTCTCCTCACCCCAAAGCATTAACACACCTTACATACACTGGGATGCATACATGCATCATAAAGTTGCAGGAGGCACACTGAGATGATACAGGCTAGTAATTCTCCCCAAAAGGCCACCTTTGGGAACAGCCCCTTAATGCCTCAAGAGGACTGTACATCATCCGAGAGTGCTACTGTAAAGATGTCCTCCTCTCTCCTCTCCTCAGTCATTTACCTGTTTTATCTTCATCCTCTGAATCAGAATCGAAGTAAATGTCATCATAGTATTTTGAAGTGGCAGCAGGTCTAGCCTGCCCAGAACTGGAGGATGTACCTGTGAAATTAGAGAAGTGGTAAGAACAACCCAACAAAAGGACAGCAAGTATACAGCCCAGAACCAACCTTCATTTTTAAGTTACTCTATCTAGAAGTACTCTGCTTTATCTGGTTATATTAAGTAATAGCTCTCCCAGTTTACTCCCACATCCTGATCATCCACATTGCTTATGTCATTTCATTTACAGGTGCTCTCTCGGAGCAAAGCTGCTCACTCTGAGATGAACCTCAGGTAGAGCTCAAAGGAAAGTTTCTCCTGAGGTACACTCCTTCAGACATTGAGGACACCACATAAAATATGCCTGCCTTTGCCCCATATAACCAATGCAGTCCCAGACACTCCACAGATCTTCAGTCATGTGGAAGAAATACAGCTGTGGCACATTGTTTCACAGACATTTTCCATTGATTAAAAGAGAAGGGCTTAGAGTTGCTAGGATCCTGGCCTGAGTGCCTTGCTTAAGTACTTAAAGTCAAGGGTGGACGAATCAGAATCTAAATGCTGTACAAACATTCTTCATAATTTTAAGTTCTAGATAACAGTCATCTTTCTAAAGCACATGTGCAAACTTCAGGCATTTTATGATGACTTAATATTATTTTGGCTAGAAAAGGCAAGTGTAAAATAAATCATCTGAATGGATATTATATATTGCATTATCAGAGAATTTCTGGCTGCCCTATCCCTGGCAGTGTTCAAGGACAGGCTGGCTGGGGCTTTGAGCAACCTGGTCTAGTGGAAGGTGTCCTCGCCCACTGCAAGAGGTTGGAATTAGATGGTCTTTAAGGTTCCTTTCATCCCAAACCATTCTAGGAAACATTCAATTCACTGAAATGGCACCTGGTGAATATCTTCTGCAGACACAATCAGCCATTTTAAGGCTTTTCTGTAGGCTTCATATAGCACTTAGCTGCCACCACCCCCTCAACCCCACCCTTCAGCTACAAGAATTAACTTCACACCTTAAGTGCGCCCACCTTAAACAGACACCACTCAACTGACAATTTCACGTGCAAGTGGATGTTAAGCATGATTTACCCATTTCTGGCAATTGCCATTTGCCTTCCATAGTCCTCATGGTGGTGTTCAGTTCCGCTTCCATCTCCTTTTGGAACTCATCGTCACTGGAGGACTCGCTCTCCCCAGTGAGGCACTCCCGTATCAGCTTCCGCTTCTGGTCAGGAGTGCCGTGTAAGAGCACATCCACCTCATCCTCTGAGCTACAGATATGTAAGGGTTACACACCAAATTATTACAAACAGCTTACAACACCGAGTCACACAGAGAACGAACACCTGAACTGTGTGCCTGCACTGGGAAGCGCCCATGTGTTTATAAGAAATATATTATTACAATATTCTATTACTAGTTTTGATGCAAAAGAGCTTCAGGCTGCGGCCTGCCAGGCTGCCTCTGAGGCTCCGGTCAGCGCGGCCCCGCGTCGGAGCAGAGAGCTGTTTACACACTGAAGGTTGCACGGTTACAGGTGTAAACACACCGGGTTCAGGGAAGACAACCGCGGCGGGATCGTTGCGGTGATCGATCCTGCCGCGACCCACGGGCGGCCCCACCGCGCACCGCAGCGCTCGGGCCTGCCACCCCGCCGGGCCCGCGGCCGCTCCCCACACCCCCGCCAGGAGACTCCAGGCGACAGCGGGGAGCGAAAGAAAGCGGGGGGCGGCCCACACCTGCTGAGCGCTCGCTCCTCGTCGCTGGGCTCCTCCACCAGGTACGGGTCATCCTCCTCCCGCAGACAGCTCATGGCGGCAACCCCTACCAGACCACCGCTGAAGCCAGGCCCGGCCCGGCCCCTTCCGGGGCCTCTGCCAGCTTCCGGCGGCCCAGCTCCGCCCGCACCGGCATCGTCCCGCGGGTCGGCCGCAGCGGCTACCAGCCAGCCACGGAGCTAGCCGGGCTGCTCCTCCCGGCCCAGGGGGGCGCTTCCTTTTGGAGCTGCACAGCCCCGGGCCGCGTTTTAAGTCCGTTTCTCCAGTTACAGAGGCGGGGTTTAAGAGACACACCCGATACCAAGAGGCTTGAAAAAGATTTAATGAGCCAGTCACACTGAACAACGAGGACTAATCTAAAAACTGTTCCCACATCCTAATTAAAATATTTACAATTTTGTTAACTGTATGTACATTGTAATCTTTGTCCCTTATATAGTCTATTTATAGATGAGTTCCTTAGGAATTATATCTGTTATATTTGGAAGATGAACAGCACAGTATTAGTGTAGTAGCAACTGCTGGAAAACATTATATATAGCAGGTGAGTTGTTAATAGCTGTTGGGCACTGGTAATCAAAGTCTGAGGCTATGCGTACACAACTCGACGCACAAGGCAAACAGCATGTTCAGCTAAGAAATGTCTCTGCCTCTGAAACTCTCCGATGCGCAAGGCAGCAGGGTAATAAGCGTACTACACTGTGCAGTTCACCCTGTTCAGGAAAAAAAGCAACACAACCCCAAACCACACACCTCTGTGCGGGAGTACAGGGAGTCTGTAATCACAGAGACATTGACTTACACAGATCTGCACCTCCAAACATCCCATTCACCCAAAATTCTGCTGCTCCATAGAAGGTCTACAAACCCATATGAAGCAGGAATACCACTGTGAAGAGCAATTCATTAAGTAAAGCCTAATTTTACAACATCCTGAAATTACACTGTAGAACAGCACCTCTTGGAAAAGTTTCATGGTTCAACTAAGAGAGACAAAGCAATACAACAGATAAACACCAGATTGATAGCTTTAAGTCCAGTTAGCAGAATGAGATCTTTTCCAGGCACTCGTTTACTGGATACCTTCACTTCTGTTCTGAAGCAAAGCTCCTTACCTGTACCAAAGTGCGGCAGTATTACCTTTCATCAATATCTTAACCCATTTTCTGAACTCCTTTCTGCTACTTTATTTCCCCTTTCTGGAAAGAAACCCAAGAAGTTCTCTGAAAAGCCAAAGAAATTCTGCGAAAGAAATTACAGTCAGCCACCAAGCTCGAAACAATTTTAAGTACACTGGATAGGAAAGTCACAGACAAACAGATAAACCTGAGAATGCAAGTGAGAAATTACTGGGCGAGTAGTGCCAGACCAATCCAATACTTGCTCAATGGTTTTACAGGGTGAACAGAGAAAAAGCTAATTAAATTAATCTGATTTACTAGAAAATATTAAGCTTACAGATGATACAATGTCTGCATAATTTTAGAAAAATCATTGATTTCATGGTTTATTTTACAATAATTGGATTAGTCTACAAGTTAAGGCAAACATACTAACGCATTTGCTTTTCTTTTTAAATCATAGTTACAAAGGTTACACAAAGTTCTCCAAAATTTCTAAGAAATGTTCACAATTGAAAAAAAGATTAAGTTTCTTGATATCAGTACATGGAAAAAAAAACAACAAACAAACTAAGACAGTGTATACAATGCCATTATAGTAACAATATTCAAATATCTAATGGTAATATTTAGGCCATTTGAACAATGTGTTTCAAATGGTTAACTTCAGAAAGTACTTACAAAGGTAAATAAGATTGGCAGCTGTATCATAGTATTCATAACATGAACATAATTATATTGGCTGTTTTCACAAAAAAACGAGCATTTGGTTTCTGAACAATGAAAGCATATAATGATTAAATAAACATGAATATGTATGTATAACAAGTATGCTGTTGCTTCATATAGTCTGGAGCTACTTTCAGGTGTTTGTTTTAATTCTTCTGAAAGGAGGAGCTTGCTTTATATGCACTTTGTCAAATGTTTCTCCAAGGAACTGTAAGTGCCTATTTAAAGTCATGAAAACAAAATCCAGAGGAGGGCAGCCCTTGTCAGTGGGAGGACGGAGCGTAGCTTATGTGTCACCATTTAACACAGCAAGGCAGCTCTGCAGCAGCTGTAAGTTACCCTGTAAAAATAAAGGAAAACATGACCACAGTTCCCTACTTTTTTTACACTTGTGACAAAAGAAGATGGTTTTCAAATAGCAATGACACCACTAAAGGAGAACTGATGGGCATTAAGCTTATGTAGAGATATTTGTGCAGGGAACTTTTATCTTAAACAGTTTTTGGAACATAGAAGCATTGTGCCTTGGAATTAAATGGAGCCAATTTAAGATTCAAAAATAAGCATTTCCATGTTTCTTCCTGAAGATCTAGTCTGATCACAAAAACTAGTAACTACGGAACACTCTGAGCAATGAAGTTCAAAGTTACAAAATCTTCATGTTTTACATAGTATTGCCATTACTCTGTTACTTGAATATTATTCCCAAAGCGGAAGTCTTCATATGAATTCACCAAGAAGCATTAACCAATTCACAGCACTCTGGATCTCCTCACTAGGAGAGGATCCATCTAAGCTCATAGGTCTGTTCAAGACAAGGACTTGTTTAAAGACAGACTGATCTACGTGCTCAGCCAGGTGATTTAGCCAAAGTTGAGTTTAGCCATTAGAGCCAAGGCTCCCGAAGCGATTATCACAACATTAACTAAGCTTTATCACTAAGGCCAAGCTCTGCCCCTTTTTTTCAGACACCTGTAGGTCAATTTTTAACCTTATTTAAAGCATTCTGATTCTACCATAAAAACATACAGGCTGACTTCAGATTTATGAATGAATTTACAGAACTGACGCGTAAAAAGATACCCTTGTTGATTAAGCATATGTGATTGACAAGTAAGCCAGGATTTATTTTCCAGGAAACAATCAACTACCCACCCCACCCCCCCCAACCCAAAACCAAATCAACCAGACAAAAAAACCTGCCAAAAAAAAAAAAAAAGCACACACCCCCACCCCGGTATTCACATTGTTTCATGCATTCATTTATGCTTAGATAACTTTATGAAATAGCTGTATCAGACTGGTTCCCAAATCTGAAAGCTCTATGTAAGCAACAGTGCTGGGCTGTTGACAGCATGAAGAGTAATCCCTATCAGGTTCAGATAAAATGCAGGAACAAAACAGTCTGAATGAACAGTACAGCTATGATAACAGCCCAGTTATGTACACAGGAGAAACGGCTTCCTTCTAAAAAGTCTTTGGATCTGAAACTTCAAACAGACAAAAGCATGTCATTAAACAGTATCAGTAGCTGTGATTTGCAAGGCCTTGATAAACAGTCTACGCAAGTACTAAAGAATTTGTCATTCTTACTTTTTCAGCTGAAAGCATTCCAAATGACCTGTGGTACTGAAGGACACTTGTCCCTCAGCCCGAAAGGTAAGAAATAGTAATTCAATTCCCCATTAAGGTTCCTATAATCCAGATTAAGCAATTAACTAAATTAAAGGCTTCAAAGCAGAAGATTCCCAGTTGTGCCTACTGAATCCTTTTTGGTCTTATCCAGAAGACATCAGTTTCAGTTATGGTTTCAACAGCTTCTGAGAGATGAACAAGTTCCATGTATGTGAAATGCATGGGGACTTGGTGGCCCATCTTTGTTGTGTAGAGGATGCATAAATCTAAGGCCTCTGTTACTGAAGCTGATTACTGGCTGTAATGAATAAAAAGGAATACTTCAGTCTGAAGTCTTCAGTCTTCAAATGAAATACCTCAGTCTGAAGTACACCTGTGGACTACGCACAAGTTATCTATAACAAAAGCATGACAGTGATCTTTTGGCCACCTCTTTATAGCTCAGCAGCAGCAGGAAGTATATTTGCAGTTCACAGACCACTACATAGCACCCTGAAGAAAAGACAGTACCAGGACATCCTTTACACAGCAGTAATTTCTAGACTCAACCAGCCAGTCTACTGGAATTTTCCAAACAGGCACGTCATTCCTCTTGATTAGACCAAATGAACAAAGTTCACAAGAACAGCCTTCTTTAAATTAAAATAAATCAAGGAAAATAGAGGCTGTGAGCTATTACACTTTCTGGCTGCAGAATCTGATATTCTTGACTTACATCACATAGCTCGAGAAAGTCCTACCAATTCAGACTCAGAACAACCTTTCTTGCCAACTCAGTCTCCTACGCTCTACATATTACAGTTACTGGCAAAACCATTGTGACAGAAACATTCTTTGCTAGAAAGAAAGAATTACTGACAAAGCATACAACCAAATCCCTTGGCATTGGATTTTGCTTACTCTATTCTTCTGTCAGTTCCAAACAGACATCTGTTGCAAGTATAGCACAACTAATTCTTTTTCCAAAAAAAACCCACAAAGGCAAGAGCACATATACTAATATTTGTGGAAAGAGAATTTTTTATTTGAGGGAACTGGCTATTTTACTCAGTTCCAATTCATATGTCAAAAGATTCTAAAAGTATAGCCATGGCTACAAATGCTTTTAAGTATATGATTATAGCCTTAGCAGTTTCACCAACTATCAAACCTCCCTTCTTGAGCATGAAGTCCAACACAGGATTTCCACAAAATCCATTTAAAATACTGAATAGGTTTAAATGCAGCTTTTGCACTAAATATCAAAACACTTAATCATGTCTTACATTAGCTACAGCTGCAGGAAGCCACAAAGAAACACAGAGCTAGTAAAACAGAAGCTAAACACTACCTAGGGGGATAATCAGACAGATCAGCCATAGAAAAAGAAACATCGATCTGTTTAGTACAGGTCAGAGACCAAGCAGAACCTGAAGCTGCAGTCTGACAGCTATTTTAAGTAAATCTAGGGTACATGCTGCTGCTAAGAAGGCAGCCGTCTTTTAATCCCAGACCCTCCCAGCCAAAACTGTGTGTTCTGACACAAGGGATGCTGTGAAAACAAAGCTGAAAGTAAAGCTCAGAAAAAAACAGAGCAACTTTTAGCTCCATCTTACAACACAGCTGCAAACATAATAGTGCCAGCATAAGTGAAAG